ACAAATGTAGACCTGCTTTAAAGCACATTTTAATTAATTACCAAACTCCAACAGCATATATGAATCAAGGCCAAGCCAAAAGCCTTTACTATTGGGGATTTTAAAAATACCCTTTGGAAAAAACTGGCTCTATAGAATTCCTCAGGATATTTTGGTTCTTCAAGCTACTAACAAAATCAAATTCCTTTCCCTTATAAAACAGTATATTGTTCTCCTTAGGGGACATTGTTTCCATTGTTTGACCAAAGTTCACCTCATTAATTTATCCTTGGTCAAAGAACAAATCTATTGTATAGTATACATTCCAATCATTGTGCAAGCTCTTTTGAGAGCTGGTCTCCCCCTTGCATAAGGTTTTGGAAAGAATGTACTTTTCCCCTAGCTATTTTCAGAAACCTTCCCTTTGTTCCAAAGACAATTTTGTTTAATTTTGGCCTTTTGTGCATGTGCAATAGCAGGTTTAATCCAATCAAGGGACAGCTTTCCTTCACTAGGTTATCAACTAAAGCCAGAGTGAAGGCTATTGTATAGCTGTGGATCTGACTTGCACAGTTTGCATGCTGCCTGATTCAGATTCTGTTCTGTTGTACTACCATACTTCACCTTCTTAGCTGGAAGAAAAAGCCAAACAAATGCCTCAGTATCTCAATCAATGTGCAACTACCAATACATGCCTAAACAAAAGGTCATAATGTGACCACAAAGGCTTTAAAAGTAATCAGTAGAGGAAAACAAAAACATGGCCCAGAAAGTGTTTTTCCCTCTTGCTGTTGCATTCTCTTTACTCTACACCCCTCACACAGTAGTTCTATTCTTAAACAAAGTAATAATATGGACCTATCAGCATGATGACTTCTCCTTTGTGGCAAACTGAAAATAAGCAGCAAGAATAAAGAGAATAGTCACAGAAGAATATACTTCAGCAGGTGAATAAAGTCTTGCAAAATGAAAAGGAGGTGCCAGTGAAAGGAATAGATGCTGTACACAGAGAAGAAACATGCCACAGGTTCCATTTCTTATTCCCAGGATTATTTGCCCCTGAGGTTTTTCTGTTATGATGGACACTTAAAGCAGGCAGAATTAGATAAACAGCAATACACTGTATAAGCAGTATTTGTCCATACAGGACAAGATTTTAACTCCATCTGTAGCAACTGAAGAATGATTTAAGAGGGGAAAATAGAGAAGTCGTCCAGTTAACACTTAGCCTATGAAATGACAACAATGATTTTGTTTTCCGTCTACAACTGCATCAATCATTTATCAATGTTCAGTAGGCAGAGTGTCATTTGCTCATCACTGTTACACTCAAGGAGAGAAAAACAACCGAAATGTATGTTGTACAGAATCGGGTTTAGCAAAAATGAGTGCAAATACCTAGGTAATGCAATAGAAACGATTCAAGAATATATTTGAGATCATAAAATATCTGTATTTCAAAGCCTGAATTTTGAACACAACCAGTGTTGGCAAAACTGCTTTGCAATTGATAGATTAATTCTAATGTCAAAAAACAAAATAGGTAGCATATTGATTACTTCATTCTTGAAATATATATGGGATGCCTATTACAGTATTCAGGGTTAGAAACTCAATGTATTGTCAGCAGGGTTCAAAAGTCCACTGAAGAGTTCAGTGCATTTCCTGAACTACGTTACCTGGCTATAAATTCTGGTCAATATTAGTTGCTGATGTAGATTTTGGATTACACAAGGGTCCTCTATAAGATCAAAGGTACATTTTTCCTAATACCATAGAGTGACAGGCTTGGACATCAATATCAGATACAATATCATTACATTTACATTTTTAAAGAGATGGAGTGATTGAAAAACAAAGACTCACAGACAGAGAAGGATACGAAGTTACATTTAAGTTAATTATTTACTCTACAATATATTACTTTTGCTGTATTAATCATGCTATGGCTCTTATTAATGAAGAAAATTAAAAATAACTTTTTCTGATTGCAGTATCTTGTCTCCATAATGGCCATTATCAATTTCTTCCACTTCTGAAAGAAAATTGAAGTTTTAATATATCCCTCTCCATGGAGCTGAGTTTTTTCATCATCATTGATAAGCACAACATGAAGGGTCAAAACTTAGTAGTGATTTTAGAAGGACGCTACGCATATCCTACTGAAATGACTTTACCACCTGCTAATCCCAGCTTTCCATCACTTGATTTTATTCATGTAAGAAAGCATTAGGCACTACAGAAATGTTGTTTCTTCCCTTCCATGATTCTCAGTATGTTCCTAGTAGAGTCATCATCTCATTTTCAGGCAACTTAATTGATCTTATATTCTAGCAATTCCTGCATTAGGGTTTCATTGTATCTCAAAGAGTATAATAAAAATGCCTACAACTCTTCAAAGAGACAAAATGAAATCTGATCAAGTTGTGTACTCTAACTTTAAGCCATGTCCACACTTTATAGATAGTAATTATTTGGCTTAGAAGTTCACTTCACTTTGACAGCACTGAATATCTTCAGCTTTTTAAAAATATGCTGATCTTATAAACTTGGTACAACTTACTGCTTGAAAAATAAATGCTCAGGTAGGCAATTCACCTATAGAAATCATTTCTACCTCAGGACCACCCCAAAACCTGTGTAGGGATCTGAAGTTTCACAACCTAGAACCTTGGCACTCTTCAATAAATAATAATGACATACAGCTTATCAGTTCAATGCAAACCAATTTCTATCCAAGTTGGGTAAAGATCCAAATGCCAAGACAGATAGTGAGAATATTTCAGATGTTCCTCTCTTCTTTGTCCTCATTTCTCAATATAGGGGTTGCTATGACTTCACTTACTTGTTCTTTCTACAGACACAGAGCCAAAACTAGACTATGTATTTCATTTTCTTGAAATAGATTTCAAATTCTTTTTACAAAGGGAATACAATGTATTGTAATAAATGGGTCTCTTTTCTATTCAAAAGCTGAATTTTCATTTTATCCTGAGCAAAGATCTAGCATCATATAAGAGGCTCTGAGGAGGGATTTGAAGCCTCTGGAGACCCAAAAGTCCTTTATAGAACAACTAAATAAATGAACCAACAGTTGAACACACACACATACACTTAGCCAGTTATATATGAATTAATTCACAATGACAATAAAGACACAATTCATCCTAACCTTTAATTTCGAACAAAATCAAACATATCCACTGATAAAACAACAGAATACAACTCATGTTGCTCCCTCTTTCGTCATGTCTCTTTCTCTTTACCAGGTATCAGTCTTTTTCTTTTTTTCTTTTCTTTTCTTTTTTTTTTTTTTTTTGCAACTCTACCATTATTGTACCTTGCACAGCACTTTAGAGATAAAAATGTGGTTTGTCATTTATAGTTGAGAGCTACTCTCAGAAACAAAGGTAAAAGATTATGCTTGTGTTCCACAATGAACAATCAAAGTATTTGTTTTCCTGGACTCATTCTATTAAAATGGAATGCATACCAGAATGAAGACTACTGATTCTTGGGGTAGTGTCTTTCAGTTAACTCACATCTTCGCAAATAACTGAAGGATAAGTTCAGTAGGGTCCTGGTTATCCCTAGATAATCTTTTGTTTGCAGCAACAATATGTTTACTAAAAATTAGTATATCCAAGATGAAAGTGTGAGATGGAGTTGAGCCATGGAATTGGCCAAACACATCTAAGGAGTGGGATACAACACTATCATTCATATCCCCCATAAAATGATTGTCCTAGAAATTGAGGAGGAAACAAAGGATGGCCCAAGTGTGCCAGTGTATAAAGTAAAATTGATAATTATATCAAAAATATATGGTTTCTTAAATGAACAAAGCAAACAAACTGAATTTATGAGATCTTTACTTTTTCAAAAAATATAAGCACATCTAAAAATAGAAGTGTCCCTGATTTGTGGTTTTGTGGTACAATCAAGCTTGTCTGACATTCTTTTTTGACCCAGGAGCATAGCAGACATTTCCATCAGGGAACTGTGCCATCAGGCACTTCCCACACGGTATAGCCAGGATGAGAAAGCTCCAGGCATGTCCCCAGTTTTCTGTCCTTATTTTCCCAGGCATGCTGCCTCTTCATCTCTAGCCAGTTCCGGGAAACATGATGACAGGTAATTATAAGAACTAAATAGGCTTGGCATTGTCATTTTCAGAAACTGCTTGCAAAGCCCACAAGCTCCACTTGCTGCACTCCCTCTAGTTCAACATCCAAGACAAATTAAAAGGGGTTTTATTTAGAATTCATATTCTACAACCATTCTGTGATTATTTTTCTCACTGCAGAGCATTTTCATTTGATCTGAATAAGAGTTTCTTCTCTTAAAAAATGCTAACAATTTACTATGGCTGACCTACAGTCCAGGTTACTACAACCAATTAAAAAAATAATATAGAGAATGCAACTCCAATGATGCAAGTGATATGAGACAAGTTTCCATTCATCATCTTTCCAAAGTCTTCCAATGGAGGAATTTGTCTCCAGTTGCCATGCTAGATTGAATAGTTTTTTCCATTTCCTGAGGTCTATTCACTTAGATAACAATTCATATTCCTCTACTCCAGTGTTGAATGGTAGGGGATATGATTCTCATAAAATGCTTGGGAACATGTAGTTCAACTTTAAAGAGCAGAAATACTCTATATTGTCCTAAGTCATTTTTAAAAATATTTTATTAAGCGAAATAATGCTTTTTATTTATATACATTGGTTGGTCTAGAATTTTCTTATATATTTTGTATTTTACAGTCTTATTTTTATCACAGAAGAACTCTTTTGTTCTGCCTTGCACACATTTTTAAACTTCCTCATTTATAATTATTAGAACTATAGAGACAGAGAATTCTCCACCCTCTATACTCCAAGTACTAACAATAAGCTAGGGCTGGGCAAGACCAAAGCTGGAAGGTGGGAATTCAATTCAATCTGGGTATCCCATGTGGGATGCAGGGCTCCAATTACTTGAGCAATGATCTGTTGCTTCCCTGTGTGCATTGGCAGGAAGATGGAATTGGAAGCCAGAGCCAGAATTTGAGCCCAAGTACTCCAGTATAGGATACAGGCGTCTTAACCAGCATCTTTACCCTAGAACAAATGTGCATCCTTCCCTCTGCATCTTTATCAACATTTGAAATGTAAGTATCACAGTTGTCAATAACAAATTTCTGCATTGTTAAAAAAAGTAATATCCACCCGTAAATATTGCCCTCTTTATATCTCAACTGTTTTATTTATCTGGTCAATAATTTCATTACATCTTTCAGCACTCCAAAGTGGTAAACTCAAAAACAGCAGTGAAGATCCTGTCAGCTCGAATCTGGGGCGAGTTGCTGATCTTAAATCTTGAGGGTGTCTGCATAGCACTTAGACTTGTAACTGAGTGATAAGCACTTTTTCTTTTCAGTTTCTCTGGTAACCAGAGAAAAACCAGTCTCTGATTACCAGAGAAAATCCAGGACTGAGACTTCTAGTTATAATGACATATACTGGTTCAGTGTGAAAAGACTGATAAATGAACCCTGGTGTCCAGAGGTCAGTTCAGTGGGAGAGTGAGAGAAATGGGAAGATTGTCAAAGTCTGACATATGCCTGAGAGGATCCTGGTAATTTTATTTGCTGCCTGAGCATCTGATCATTTATTCAGCTTCCCTGAGAGAATTGGTAACATTTTTTATTTGCTATTTCACATTTGGAGTTTTTCCACAGAGCATGTGGAAGGGGCTGGTAGAGATCAAAACTAGTTAGTATCAGCAAATGTTGAAGCATCTCTTCCAGGTACTTAAAATAAATAGCATTGAGAAGCAGGAAAGAGGGAGGAGAAGAGACATGCATGCTTCCGTTTGCATTAAGTCACTCACTTCCCATCCTGAACATCATAGCAAGTAGGGCTGAGTGAGACAATTAATGTAAAAGAGTGATAGGGACTAAGACGTCCAAAGTCTAAATCTGAAATTTAAATTGGCCACAACATATATTTTCCAGCAGAATAATAGAATAATTTATTGATATCAGATTTACCAGGATAATGTTAATGTGGTCAGAGAGAAGAACTTTCACTGAAACATGGCCTTCACAGGTGGAAGCCAGGGCACAGAGTTCAGAAGGGTAACAGCCTCCCTTCAAGTGTACTGGATAGGAATTTCTAAGTTGCCTGTAGTCTACAATTGAGTGCTTGATTAAAAGAAAAGCACCAGGTAAATATTGGCTGGGCCCTTCCTCTCTGCCAAATATTAGATTTCTTGGTAAGTACCAGACAGTAGAGCTTCCACTGAGGTGCAAATGGAATCTGGGCTAGCCCTGCTCTCACCAGGCTGGTTGCCCACTCCCTTTTAGAAACAGATGGCATCTACCCAACTAGGGGTTTAAAGGATGGAAAATATTCCCTTCTGAAAACACGACAACTCCAAATACTTTATACCAAGTGCCTCCTGCTTACCTTTTTTGATAGCCAGGGTAACAAATCCCATCCAGATGGACTTGAAATCCAAGGCAGCACATGCTACATCAATCACTTGTTCTTTGACTCTGGGACAGCTGTTACTAGCTGTGATGCTACCACCAATGGCATAGGGAAACTTGGTTTATCTTTTTTAACAAAATAATGTGTATTTACTTGAAAGGTAAAGCAACAGAGATGGAGGGAAAGAAAGACAGAGAAAGAGATTTTCTACCTGCTGGTTCATTTACCAAGTGGTCACAAAAGCCAGGATAGGTCCAAGCTAAATCCAGGAGCAAAGAACTCCATCAAGGTCTCCCACAAAGATGGCAGGGCCTAAGTATTTGGGCTGTCTCCCAATTCCTTCCCAGGTGCATTAACAGGAAGCTGGATCAGAAGCAGGAAAATTGGGACTTGAATCAGCACTCTGATATGAGATGCTCGCCTTGTAGTCTGTGGCTTAACTCACTATGCCACAATGCTGGCCCCAAAATTCGATTATCTTTGATTCTTCCTTCTCTTCCTATAAGTTTTCAATATCTCAATTCTACCTTCCCAAAGGAATTGCCTTATTATTCTTATGTTTGCTACTGTCCCTTTTGTCTGATTTGCCTTGTTGATATAGAATTTCATGATACAAATATCTTTCTCTAAGTTCTTGAATGCAAGCTACAGAGAAAATCCAGTCTGTTTAAATTATGACTGAATTTCTACACTCGATCTTAGCCAAAAGGCCAAGAAGCGATTTTTGTTGAATTTCTATGTGACCAATTTTCAGCCCTCACATAGTGCTGTTGGTGGACTTATAAACTGCTCCCTGCCCTCAAATTCTAATGTTGAAACCCCAACACCCAATAACTCAGAATGTGGCTGCATTTGAAAATGGGATCTTTAAAGAGGTGATCAGGTTAATGGGATGACTTTAGGGTGAGCCCTAATCAAATTTCGCTTGTGTCTTTATTAGCAGAGATTAGAACACAGAATGTACATTCACAGAGGGATGCCCATATGAGGACACAGCACAAAGTCTTTCTGCAAGTCACACAGAGGCCTCCAAGGAAACCACAGTCTTTGCAACTCTATCACAGTACCTTGAATAATGCCCAGCACACTGTAGATGAGGCTATGAGTTCTGTTATGGAAAGTTCCATGTTTACTCTGTTCAACATCAAGCCCACGTCAAGCACGGATCCTGTGCAAAAACAGGGTGCAGCAAATTTGGGGGGAATGAATAAACACTCAGGTGAACTGATTAAAAGAAATGTATAAATCAGGTAGTTAAATTTCTTTCTATTACAAGCAACAAGACTGATTCATACAGAAGTTAATTCCTAATCTTTGGTCTTTTAATTCAATAGTCCAACACGGCCTACCTGGAACAATATGACCCTTTAAAAAGGTTGTATATTCTCGGGGCAAAAAAACAACAACTAGAAGTCATTAACATTTTCTTACATTTTTGTTTATTATATTAGAAAATTATTAGCTTTTAAGACCTTGAAAACATGGGACCCAAATAATCAAATATATAAAGAGTGACATATCTGTTGATAGAAAATACAGACTGATACTTGACTGTTTACTTCATTATGGTTCTTCAGTGAGATATCACAGCTTGACCAGCATCAACATAATGGCATTAGGACACCAAGCAATGTTTTATTTACTGTTTATGGGTGTACTTCTGTGTATGTTGTCCATGTGCATATGTGCATGCTATAACCAAAAAAGCATTGACAATAAGTTCAGAAAAACAATGGAGAATGCTCTAAACAAAATTCAATTTACTTTTAGGTTTTATGTAGCAATTGTCAAGGCATAATATTAACTCACAATCACACTGTAAAAAAAGTTCTAAAATTTCAAATTCTTTTAGGCTTTTATTAAGTGCTAATGCACTTATTTGTCATAGAACTTATTTGAAAATAACATCAATGTGTTTTTCAACAGATAATAGTAGTAAACTTTCTCTATTGCTTACCTTTATAATACAAGGTTTATTATCTACCACACAATTTACATTTGGGCCAAATTATTTTGTGCTATGAGTACTGTCTTGTGCATTGTAGGGTGTTTACCAGCAACCACTTTCTAGTTGCCAACAGCAGCTTCATCCATTTTCTGACAATAAAAAATGTCTCCATATATTGACAAATATTCTCTGGGAGTAAAACTGTCTCTGGCTGAGAGCCACTGCTAAAAAAGATACTGAGATTTTGTTGTTTAAGTAAAGATGACTGCTGTTAATTCCCACCTCACCTTCCTCCTCCGAAATGCCCACACAATTCCAGTAGCTGAACATAGTAGTTTATTTCTTAACTCTAGCACAGTCAAGTGTAGATCTGAATTGTGGGAATGGGATGTGAGACTTGTCTCATGCCACAATCCAGGCTGACTGGCCACCATCAAGGTTTCCCTGAGTGTACACACAAACAGCATATGGAGAAAGAGGTAAGAGGATTGTTACTGATAGGTTTCCGTTAGCCTGACCTACACTTGGAACGTAAGCTGTCCATTCACACTGCTAGTGACATCTGTACTAATGACCACTTGAAACGCAGTCACAAGGCCTCAGTTTATTGATAGGGAATCAGAAACAGAGAATAGGTCTATGCATATGAGAAAAGATCATCTTAGTAATATATGGTTTCTGCTGAATGTCTAATAATTTTTTAAGATTTATTTATTTTACTTGAAAGAGTTACACAGAAAGAGAAGAGGCAGAGAGAGAGAGAGAGGTCTTCCATCCCACTGGTTCACTCCCCAAATGGCTGCAACAGCCGGAGCTGCTCTGATCCGAAGCCAGGAGCCAGGAGCCAGGAGCCAGGAGCTTCTTCCCGGTCTCCCATGCAGGTGCAGGGGCCCAGGGCCTTGGGCCATCTTCCACTGTTTTCCCAGGCCATAGCAGCTGGATCAGAAGTGGAACAGCCAGGACTCGAACCAACGCTCATATGGGGTGCCTGCACTGCACACAGCGGCTTTACCTGCTACGTCACAGCACTGGTCCCTAATAATGGTTTTTAAAAGTTATGTTCCCTTGTATTTCTATGGAATGTATCACAGATGAAGGTTTTGTTGACTTGCATTGGACCAAGAAAGTAGTTTATGAGAAGTAATGAACTCCCCAGTTACTTTTCTCAGTATCTGAACCAAGGATGATTGAACAGATTGTGCTTAATCACCTTTTGATCCATTTACAGAATGGGCCAAATGTCACTTAACGTCTACTTAATAAGTAAGTGTATATTTCATGGAAATTCTTGTATGGCTTCTCTGAGAGGAATTGTATTTTTGGTAATCACTTGACAATTAGAAAATTCATGGTTAAAACAAAGATAGATTCTAATGATGAACAGCCTTTCTTAGGTATAATTACAAAGAGCAGTACTTACGTTCTCAAGAGGACAGAAGATTGACTTCTGTTTTTTCTTTGTTTTCACTAGTGGGAAATGTATGTCTACTATTCTATTGAACATAAATACTTAATAAAATGATTGACTGAAATAGCAAGAGTCTTATTTGTAATAATAGGGCATAGAGAAGCTAACATCACACAAAGCTCAAATCCATGTTCCCGGGCCCATGATGTTCACATTTTTACATGTTGTGAGCATGACTGGCCCTGGATGAAATATCCCCTCACAATTTATTTTTGGATGTATTCTACCCTTAGGAGCACTACATCCCATCCTGGAGTTTTTCTGTCAAATTTTTTCCTCTAAATGCAACAAACATTATCAAGAAAAATCTTTGCTAAAGCACATACCTCTGTCATAGAGCCATACAAAAACACCAACTCTGCTCTCCAAGAGACTCATTCAAACTGCCAACCACATTCAACATGACAGAACAGCCTAGCTGCGGTGGCTTTCACAAACCATAGAGTGCAGGTGATAGAATAATTAAGCTTAATTGAGGGCTATTAGCAAATAACTCACAAATAGTTTGAGTCAAATGGAATCTTGAAAGCTATATGACTTTTAATAGATGAGGGAATTATGCTCACTCTCATTTCCATAGCTTTCCTCTTGCAGCTTCAAACCAAGAAAAATACATTCTAAATCTATATTAGCCAACTTTAGTTCCTCTTCTCCTTATAGCTTTCCCTTTGAAATCAATTTCTTCCTACCCACTCTAGTTTCATAAACATTCATCACTTTTTCCCTGGGTTGTTATTTATTATCTCATATTATTCACTTCTTCAAACATAATAAATCTCACTAATTTCATTCATTCATTTCATTCATTCATGGTAGGTTTGAACTCTAAGTCTATGTGTAAAATAACTATGACTTAAGCTCATTGATAGCATCTTTTATGCCCCAAAATGCAACCACCATATAAATTATTTATAATAAACTCTCAGTTAAATGAGTCAGATTCTTGAAATGATACTTAGATCAGTTTGGGGGATTTAATTTCAACTCCAAGATGGTAGCAAAAACTCCTGTCTTTGGCCTGGCCCTAGCTCCAGATGTTGTGAGGATGTAAGTAATGAAGCAGCAGATGAAAACCCTCTCATTCTCTTCCCTCCATTTCAAACAAATAAAATAATTATTTAGAACAATGGTAGCCAGAAAAGAATATGTACCTGTTGAGCACATTCACCTTCCATTTGGCATTAGTGTGGTTTAAATGCATCATTGAATATTCCTATGTGTAGTGGGTACCTTTTGTTAACATGCGATAAGGGTTTGCATGCAATCCATTTTCTTGTTCTAGATAGCTGCAGTGCCAGGAAGATACAGTGAAAGGGGGGTTTCTGCAAGGGGGGAAAGGAAATCCCATCTTCTTCAAATCATGGAATACATCTAAAAACGGAAAGTATGGCTAAGATGATTTTTAAAAATAGAGCGAGGACTAAGAAGGAATTAAAGGGCAAATACAATTTCACAAATTCTATTTACACAGTAAGCTAAATTCCACTGGGAGAGAAAGAATCAGATGAAAGTTTGAGAGATGATTAAATACATAGGCTTCAAATGTTTGAATTCTGATTTTACCTCACTTTGCTCACTTGCAAGGTAGTTTATAGGACAAGGGTACTTCAAGAAGTTCACAGAAAAATGGAATTTAAAGGTAAACTTATTTTGAGGCAATTTTTTGAAATTTATACAGGGTTGTTAGGTAATATACATTTTCCTTGATTGTTTTGAAGATCTTTCATACGTGGTAGAAACATCCTAATAAACTCTGTGTCATAGAGCTGTGAACTGAATTAAAACAGTCAAAAGGCTTAGAGCAGTGTAGCACCAACAAAACCATGTACAGCATTAGATATCCTTAGACCTATGAAAGTCGTGCACGGAGAGGTTTGGGGATTTCAAAAGAGACTCTCTTATCTTTCTTCCCTCTGCTTGATTTGGAGTTCCCCATTCATAATAGATACCAATTTTTCATGTGAATAAGATGATGTGATACAAAGAATTGATACGAATACATGGTTGATATGAATAAAGACTTTGAGGCAAAGATCACAAAATTTCCTCATTATGGAATTTGAAAGGTCTATTGCAGCTTGTAGGGCATTCATTCAGACAAAACTAAACTGCAAATGAAAATGGTGCAGAGCCAGCCAGAATGAAAGCTTGGTTTGCTTCATACGAGTCATCTCTATTTTCTGAACCAGAAACTACAGATTTCACCATCTCTGGAATATATGTTTGCCAAATTAAAATAAATAATCATTCCTAAAAGTTTCTGGAAGACATGACATCAATTCTCAGAGAGTTTTTTTGTACAGCAGTCACATGTGCAGAGTTGCATTGTCTAAGCACAAGTATAAAAACCTTAACAAGAATTAGCCATTTGGAGGTGTTAAGTGGGCTGGTCCACTCTGAGCTGCCTCAGGAGACTTCTTGTTTGCATTCATGAGAGCCATTGTAACTAAGGTCTCTAGTCTCTGGTAAGAAAGCTTTCCCTGAAGGGTGCTTAAAAGGAGCCTGGAGGACTGAACTCAGCATATTCTCAAAGGATTTACAGACATCTTCACAATTCAAGGATGTAAGAATGACATGACCCAGTTACTTTTCTTCTCTTGAAATAATGTAACAAAATAATAGCTGGCAGTTGAATTTCCCCAGTGCTTACAAGTGTTTAATTCCTAACTAAATGAGAGGAAGACTGACTCTCCACTTTTTCAAGCTGTTTCAGAGAACAAAACTGGACTAAGCTCACTGAAAAAAAACTGCTTTTCAAGGAAAATGTCAGAAGTCACTATATTAATTAATGCGCTGTCAAATTATCAATAGCTTATGTGAATTTA